ATGAGGGTCTGAGGAGGAAAAGAGGTGCCCGTACCACTACGCTTCCCTCGTTTCTGCCCTTTTGGGGGCCTCCTGGCAGGTCCTCGTCGCCTACGCTGGAGTCGCCTCGAGGTCCTGGTCAGGGCGCACCCAGGGAGAGGTCCGGGGAGCAGCGGTATCGGCAGCTTCTGGCATCACGGGAAGGAGGGCCAGCACGTTCTGATCAACATTCCCCGTGGAGCGAGCGCCCAGAAGGCCCTGCTCCGCGTGCAGGCCAGCGCGCGTCGCCTGGGTGGGTACTGCGCGGACATCTACTTCCAGGAGCTGAACGTCACAGGGTCCTGGGCAGAGGCGAGACAGGCTGGGGGGTATCGTTACAGCGCATCGCAGGCAGACAGCGAGACTCCAGAATGGGTTGCCTTTGGCAACGTTGACCTGAAAGTCGTCCATGGACTCACGGACAGCGGCGTTCGCTATTTGAACGTGTACGTGAAGCATTTGGGCCGATCAGGGCTTGTCGTGGGCGGCTTACTGGGAGAAGACGACCACGCCGACGTCATCACTCCCCCGGAGGCGTGTGCAAAGCATTTGGCTCTGGTGGACAACCTGGAAGGAGACTTCAGGGCCCCCGCTGTGCGGTCAGAGGCAGTCGCGAGCCTCGCGTGACCATGCCCGCATGTTTTTTGTTGCGGGCCTCCGCGCGGAGTCGGGATGAAGGGATGAGGAGGAGCGGGGCGTGCAGCGGGGAGGAGCCGAGGGGGCCAGGGAAGAGCATGGGGACGAGGGACGGAGGAAGGAGCAACGAGGGGCGCAACCGCTTCTGTTCCGCCAGACGAAGCTTCACCTTTCTCAGGGCTGATGGCAGTCCCCTTCTGCAGGCGAAGCCGAAGCGCGCAGTGGCCGTGCTTCCTTCGCACGATACATTATGTGTTTCTGTTCTGGTCGTATAGCCGAAGGAAATGTTACGCTGCTGCGTCGGGTATTCGCTCATGCGCGTGGCATTCGGCTTCGGCGTGTCTTCCCGGCCCGCGCACCTGTCCGGCAGACTGCGGCAAGTCCCGCGACCGCGTCGGCGCCGCCTTCTGCGTGGCGACGGCTCGAGCACCGAAGGCCGTCGAACGTGCCACCGCTCGTTTCTATCCGGCCGCCTCTGGCAAGGCACAGCGCGCACTTGCCGCGGGGCTGTTCTGGGACGCAGCGGATCTGGGCCAGCGCCACGGGCGCGAAGATCCGCGAAATTCGCGCGCGGCGCGGCCTGGGCCAGGACGGCTGCTCTTCCCGAGCGAGGGGGCGACGCGAGGGCGCGAGGGCGAGAAGAGATGGCTGCGCGCCGGGGGGGGCGCGATGCGCGAAGGATGGGGTTCGAAGGAGCAAAAACGCCATAAACACAAACTTTTGGCGGCGGATTGCTCGGATCCGCGCTGGGCCCGGCAGGAGAGCCCCAAAGCGGCCCACGAGGGCCCTCAGACGGCCCCCGAAGCCACCCCCCAGACGGCCCAACAAGCCCCCAAGTTGGCCCCAAGAGGGGCCCACGAACTGTAAGACTGCCCTTGCTGCTACCTCTGCACCCCAAGACAGACCGAAGAGCACCCTGACAGGCCTCCGAATGGGCTCAGCGCTCCGAGGGCCGCAAGACGGGGCGGCCCGAAAGGCCCCCCCCGATGACCCAACAAGACCCAAAGTTAGATCAGATCGCCCTGGATGCTTGGGCGGCGCAGGAGCGAGGAAACAGGGCTCTCTGACTAACCGCATGGTTTCCTGGGGGCTTCCTGGGGGTCGCCTCCGATCAGTCAGGGCCACCTCGGGCCCTCGGGGGTACATTGCATTGGGGACACGTCGGGGCCTGCCGCCCGATGATGCACCCCGCTGGTGGGTCGAGCTCCCCATGGGCCTCTCCCGGGGTGTTCTTGGGAGCCTTCGGAGCCCTCTCTTGGAGCTCGTGAGGCTGCACCGGGCGATCGCGGAGCCACCCCGAGGCTTGAGAAGCCCCTCGGAGAGAAAGCCACGAAGGGCCCACGGGCGGGCACCGGCCGAAGCTCGGGCGCACCGGCCCAGCCCAGGAGGGGCGCCCACCAACCAGGCACCAGACGAAGCCCCCAGCGCACCACGCCAGCCCCGCAGGGAGCCTGAGAATGGCACAGATGGGTGCTGGTACGGTTTGGGGAAGCGGGTGCTGGCGCCGTACCAGGCAGCCGACGAGCAAGAGGCGGCCTGGCACTCCACGGCCGTGGAGGCGCGATGGCGGAGACATCTGTGTACATAGATGTGCATATATATATATATATATATATATACAAGTGGCACGTGTGTGCCCAGGCTCATACAAAAAACTGAAGGGGCGTTTGAAGCAGGAGTGAAATGCAACATCGAAGTCGCACTCGAGCGCAAGTGGGGTTGCCACACCTTGCGATGTGTGTACCAGGACCCCCCAGGAAGCCTCAGGAGGCCCGACTTGGATACCAGAAGAGGCTCCAGGAGGCCCCAGGATTGTGAGTGTTGTGCGTGTGTGTGTGTGTGATGTATGCTTTGTGTGGTGCGTGCTTTTTGTGTGTTGTAGGTGTTGTGTGTGTGTTATGTTTGTCTAGCGTGTGATGTGTTGGGCGTGATTTGTGTCTCTGTGTGCATGTAGTTCTGAAGCCCCAGGAGGCCCCAGGAAGCCCCAGGCGGCCTCAGGAGGCCCCAGGAGACCCCAGGAGGCTTCAGGAGGCCCCAAGAGGCTCCAGGAGGCCGCAGGAGGCCCCAGGAGGCCCCAGGAGGTTTCAGGAGACCCCCAGGAGGCTCCGAGGCGGGGTCTGGGGTGCCAGAAGGTTCAGAAAGCCCCAGGAGGCCCCAGGAGGTTCCAGGAGGCCCCCAGGAGGCTCCGAGGCGGGGTCTGGGGCTCGATTTTGGAAGGATTTTTCAAGCGAAACCGCCATTCCCTGAGAATCGGGGTCACAATTATTGAAATTACCATGTGTTTTTGAAGGTTTTATGTTAAAATGTTGAATTCCCATGTGTTTTTGGACCCTGACGTCACGATCTGCGTGAGGGGTGCCACCGATTTTCAGAATTTCGAGGATGTCCCGAGCGAAACGCCCAGAAAAATCGCGGACGCGTGCGCATTAATCGCCTCTGAGCTCTACTCCCTCGGAGAGGTGCGTATGAGAATATACATATATATATATATATATGTATCAAGCCGCAGCCCCTGTTGGCCGAACCTTCCACTCTTCTATCAAAAATTTACCTGGCACAAAACAAGCTTCACCCGAGCGTCCTCAGCTTCTCCTGCCGAGCCATGGGGTTTGGACGTGCGGGCGTCGTGGCGGCGCTGGCGAGCTCCGCGGTTTCTCTCGCGGTGCACAATGATCAGGCTGGCACAGCCAGCGGGGCCACGCGGGGGAATGAGACCAGGTCGACGCAGTTCATCAAAGCCACCATGGTGTTTGGACTGAACTGTGGCTACGCAACCCTGGCTGACGTGAACTTTCTGTCGTCGGGCGGAGCCAGCATCGACATCAAGCTGGCCAACTACCAGGACGACCATCGCGGCTCGGCATGGGGAGCCTGCACCCTGGTGGGCGGCAACTCGAATTGCTGGTGGGAGGGCTACGGGTCGGTGGCCCCAGTGTACACGGTGCACGACCCCCTGACCTCCAGAGACGCAAGGTTCATGGACTGCGTTGGCCCCGAGCCCTCGCCCATGGAGATTCGGACCCTCACGGTGCAAGGGCAGCAGCACCCTTGTCAGTGCACTGGCGGCTACTACAAGGGATACCCGTGCCAGGCTTCCAATGCTGCGGGTAACCAGTGCCATTGGTTCATCTTTGAAGTGGAGGGGGGTGACACCGTGGCGAGCGTCGACGTGACCGCGAACGGTTGCGGCTACAACTCGGGGCTGAACTACGCGGAGTTCACCCCGTGCTCGTCAGCAGACGTTATTCAATCGCTTCGCTCATTCCGCCGGCCCTCGAGCGCTCTATGGGGCCTCTTTGAAGCCTCTTGGGGGCCTCTTTGGGCCTCTTAGGGGCCTCTTGGGGGTCTATTGGGGCTCCTTAGCGGCGTCTTGGGGCCCCCTTGGGCCTCTTGGGGGGCTCTTGGGGGCCTCTTGGGGCGGGGTAGTCGAGTGCACCCCCCTCGGAGGCCACGATCCTCGTGAGGGGTGTCGAAAAAAGGCCCTCAAAACCATCTCTGGGTAGACTTGGTCGGGCTGTGGTCGGGATATTTTCCCGGAAAGGGCTCGAGCCCAGGGTTCTCTTTTAGAGGTTTACCCCCGGTTTCGGCGGCTGTAGGGCCGGCGAAATTACTCTGCGATAAATTACGCGCGGGAGTAGGGCCGGCGGAATTATGTTTGAGGATGTCTCGAGCGAAACGCTTGTTTTTCAGAATTTGTTGAGGATGTCTCGAACGAAACGCTGGTTTTGCAGAGTTGGGGATGTCTCGAGCGAAACGCTTGGTTTCAGAATTTGTTGCGGATGTCTCGAGCGAAACGCTGGTTTTGCAGAGCCGACCGTGACACGGAAAAGCGCTCCTCGCGCAGGAATTCCGAGGATGTCTCGCGCGTGCCGCGTCCCGCGCGCAGGAATTTTGATTTCTTGGGTTTTGACAGGATTTCTCAAGCGAAACGCTTGTTTTTCATAATTTGTTGAGGATGTCTCGAGCGAAACGCTGGTTTTGCAAAATTGGGGGATGTCTCGAGCGGGGGCCTCGTGGGGGGCCAGAATTCAGAGGATATCTCAGGCGCAATGCTTGTTTTCGTGTCCCGCTCGCAGGAATTCCGAGGATGTCTCGCGCGTGCCGCGTCCCGCGCGTAGGAATTCGGATGATTGTGATAGGATGTCTCGAGCGAAACGCTTGTCCCCAGCACGTTCAGTAGCGCGTCCCCTTGGCACGTCCCGCGTTGCGACCCCATGGCACGTCCCCTGGCACGTCGCCTGGCGCATCCCTTGGGACGTTTCGCGGCGCGTCCTCCTGGCATGTTCCCCTTGTCAATTAGCTCTGGGGCAGCTACTATGTGTTCAGGCAGCTCGAGCTTAAGATCCAGATCAGTTCGGTCAGGACTCGGATGCAAAGGAGGACTCGATCCACGACGCTATAGAGCACAACCGCGGCATGGCACATCGCAATTCAGCACGGTGCAGCACAGCACAGACTTCGGCACGGTACATCAAGATCGATACACTCAGCATTGCAACTTGGCACGTTCTTGGCACGTTCCGTGGGGCGTCCCTTGGCGAGTCCCCCTGGCACGTCGCGTGGCGCGTCCCCTGGCACATTCCGTGGCACATCCATTGGCACGTTCCGTAGCGCGTCCCTTTGGCACGTCCTACGGTGCGACCCCATGGCGCGTCCCCTGGCACGTCGCCTGGCGCATCCCTTGGGACGTTTCGCGGCGCGTCCTCCTGGCATGTCCCCCTGTCCATTAGCTCTGGGGCAGCTACTATGTGTTCAGGCAGCTCGAGCTTAAGATCCAGATCAGTTCGGTCAGGACTCGGATGCAAAGGAGGACTCGATCCACGAGGCTATAGAGCACAATCGCGCCATGGCACATCGCAATTCAGCACGGCGCAGCACAGCACAGCCCTCGGCAGGGTACATCAAGATCGATACACTCAGCATTGCATTTGCCCGTCACCCAATCAGGTGTCTTTGAAAACGCTGCCATGTGTTACAGTTCTATATTCCTT